CACCCCTTTTTTTTTTTTTTTACAAAAAAAGCACTGCATCCTTCTATCAAACTTGGAACTCTTTTTATTATTGGCTAGAGAAACGTGACTATGTGTAGATTTGAATATGTCTACAGATTGGTATAAGAAAAAATGGGTGGCTGACCCAGTAGGCCTGAAGTCTTTAATGACTGATGTTTTAGTTTCTTTTTTTTTTTTTTTTTAGTTAAGAAAATAATAATAATAAAACTTACTAAAAAAAAAGAAGAATAGCCCGCGCCTCGCTCTGATTGCCTTGGCGCGTGCCTCTATCACAGGCCGATTAGAGCCGGGTGACCCGCTTAAGGGGCTGTCCTGAGGAATGCTCTGGGGCGCAGCGGGAGCTGTGAGGGAGGGGAGAGATGGCTGGTCAGAAAAGGGGAGGAAACACCCGCCCATCAACTGCCAGCACCGCAAAGGAAGAGCCATCCAAGCAAGGCCTTTGGCCTGTTCCAGCTCCAGAGCACTTTGCACCGCGGAAGTGAATGTAAACTATCCCATAATTCCTATGGCTTCTCCCCAGTGCGACTTCTTCCGTGGCACTGGATTACCAAGATGCTCAACAGGGACAGGAGAATTGTCCACTTTCACCCCACAATGGACCCTTTCCCTGCTTGGTGTTGGAAGGTCCATGCTTATATTTAGTCGGGCTTTGTCTGAACCTCCAGCTTGGTGGCATTTGGGTCTTCTTTGGGGAAGGACTTCCACTTGCCAAGAATCTCTTTTCACTGGTATCTTTTCATTGGGTTTTCTTCCCCTGTGGCTTTAATCCCTACTGCTTTCCTGTTTAACTTTTCCATATTGATTGGATCCACTCTGGAAATATAGAAGAATTGTTCACTTTCATCCCACGATGAACCCTTTCCCTGCTTGGTGTTTGCTTTTCCCTTTTCCTTTACCCGGTCTGCGTCACGTGTCCTCCATTCCCTGCAGGCTTGGAAAGTCTCCCTCCGCACCGCATCTCACGCTCCCTCGTTCTGCTGAAAAGACTCCCTCCTGCCCGCCGGCAGGGCGGAAAATGATGCGGCTGTTCCCACCATGCATGGCACCCCCCATCCCACCCCGCCTGCCGGGCCCCAGGGCCCACCGGCAGCTCCTGAGTGGAAG